ACAAAGAAAATTCACCTCTCTCTGATATTAGTTTTGGATTTGAATTTAGAAAAGCGTTGAAGAAATCACACATCTGATTATTGCGCAGTCACATTGTAGCACGACGCGAATCAAGTTTGATGAAAGGAATGAAGTATTTAAGAAAACAAAAAAATATTCCCAAAACAAATTAAATATCACTTCGTGGAACTCAGTGTAACACAATGGAATGTGTTCCGATTTTTCTCCAAACACAAAAATTTATTACTAAGCTTCGAAGATTTTTAACAGCAAACTTGAGTTTTTAAAAGACTTCAAATTTGAAAAAGAGCCGTTGGCCAATTATGTTAATGTTTATATAATATCATAATTGCATCTCAATAGAATCTCTACTACTCAATTTTGCCATTGTACTATCTATCTGAAGTACATGTTATTATAAATCTGTCACCATTGATTTGTGAAGAAGACAACACTAATAATATTGGACTTCAAGTAGATAATACAATAGCAAAATGTATGTACCTACAATTAGGCTAGATTCTATTGAGATGCGATTATTACGTAAACATTAGCAGAATAAGCCTACAGATTATGTTCGACGATTATGTATTTTGATTATAATTATTATTTTAATACTTATGTTTTTAAAATATGTGTAAATTACCTTCCATAAACCACTTTGATATCACCGTTCCGTGTAAAGAATGACATTTATTTCTGTAGTTTCTTTGTTTTAGTTTTATTACTTCCTCATACGTGACGTTTCCTACAATTTATTCAGAATACAAAATTGCCAATGCAGTAGTCTTTGCGAATGATTACTTCTAAAGCGTAGTCGGTCTTGCTTGATGTATGAACCACAAAAATATCACTAATCAGTTTCATCAATTATGGCGAAATTTGTGAAATTATTTAATCAAGAAAAAGACCTCGCCTGTGCCACGATGCGTATTCGTATGTAATCTTATGAACCGACTTGTACTACAAAGATATAAACATAATATTATTTTTTTATTAATTCTATTGCTTAATTGTAAATTATTTACTTACTAGTGGATAATAAATAATGTACACTTCCACTTAACTAAATGTTGTGTAAATACGAATTGTATGTTCTCGTGCCTTCAATTACGTACTTAGAATAGCTTTCTTCGCTACCTCATCGCCTGTGTAAATATTTAAATTAGATAATGCGCAAAGAGAACTGTGGGATATATTATGAGATGCGCCTAAAGTATACGCATTTTATCGTGTCGATGAAATATTCAACTTGACTTTATATAAAAGCTGGTTATTTATTGCACACTAAAATAGTATAATTAATAAAACTATTTTGAACGATCACAGAGTAATAGTTAATATTATTACATAGTGCCGCTTTCATATCGCAGTTTCCATTCCCCATTTGCTTTTATAGTGTTAAATACGAAAATAGAAGTTCAAGTGAGGTATCAGGAAATGGCATGATGTGCATATTTCAAAACATATTTAATTCGATTCCAGAATTTACTGTATGTAAACCTACAAATTTGTACGGAACTCGCAGTGGGAGCGAATCCGATTCGCACTTGTCCTTCTTCCTTTGAGAAGCAAATCCGTTTTACGCGCAATTTTCCGCATAATTCTTTTGTTCCTTACCTTTTATCATGCAATTATTTATTCACTAGTCAATATATTTGTAAACATGCTTACTTAAACACTTTTAATTAAAATACTCCGTTATATTGCTTAACAATACAACATGATCCAATATTTTGTCAAAATAAATTCAATTAGCTTCTCAAATAAATCGACATAGAATCATCAAGGAAAACAGATCGCTGTGAATTTCTTCAAAGTACTCAAGTTACCAGATATTTGATGTAACAAAAAGCCACGTCTAAGGAAACGGGAGCTATAATGCCTCTTTGAGTAGCGTCGTCTCCGGCCGGTCTCTAGTTTCACTGTTATTTGTCAAAGTCGCCTATAGTAAGACACTTTGTAGCTATGTATTATTTGAGTCGATGGCTTTGAGTCTAGCAAATTATTTATTAAATATTATTTTTATTTCATTTTTATTTATTTCTTTTTCAAACTCATGTTGGGACAAAATCTGAATAATTACACAATTTTAATCATTAATAACAAAAATTCAACATTCATATGTATATCAATTTATTAGTAAATCTCAAAAGTATTTTTACACAGCGAGGCCTTTTCAAACAGGAGAAAATTGTAGACAGTACACGAAACTTCACATTGTGTTTCACCATAGTGAATCATATGCACGTATATTTACCTTTTTAACCTGCTTACATCAAGTATAAAAAAGAAAAACGAATCATTTAAATACGTATCTACTTATGAATATGATGCATCTACTACTATGAATGGAGTTATGACAGTTTTAGTATTGACTAAATATATTACCAACCTGTTCACTACTATTGAAATATAAACATGAAAATATTGGATATTAAAATGAAAAATAAATTATCAATTAAATTATTAAATATGAAGTTTCAAAACATTTCTTTTTCTTTGTAAATATGTTATATTGACTTACTTAACGGAAAATTGATAATAACATTAACCATAAGAAAAAAAATAGTGTACTGATAACAAATTTTTCCTGTATACTAGTATTTTCTCAAGGGAACATATCGGCTTCAGTATAAAGGGAGTGGTATAGTCAGTTAATTTTATCGCTTTATGTTGTTTATAGATTAACTTTAACGACAAAACCCTCGTCTTAACCTAAACACTTATGTTACAAGTTGGTTTATAACTGCTGATATTCATGGTCGCCTCGTATTAAATTAATTAATGGCGGGGCAGGGGTTCACTGATCCTGTATTAAACCATGAGGGCAGATATAATGTTCATGCAGTTTAAATTCTATAACATATGAGATCAGATGACATACATCGAATGTGTAATATTAACTTTTAAATCACAAAATTCCTTCTTCGAAAATTGGCAATTTATGAACTAAACCTAAATACAACTCTGAAAAATCCCTCTCAAAAAGGCGAACAATTTCGAAATAGATATCTCTCGAAATCCCATGAGTATACCAGAGTCTATTTCCAGCTTAATCGATGTATGTATAAAATTAACGTTATTGGCTATGTCTTATAGGTATTTTCTTCGGCGTCCTCTCTCCGTACGTGAAAATATCCTTAAAATAAATACCTCAACGTACATTCAACCTGGAGTAAAGAGATCCACACAAATCTTTGGCAGAGAAATCGCAGCATACCGTCCTAATCGTACGATCCATCAACGTCAGCGGGTGCCCAGTCGGCTTGTTCGTATACTGCTGTGCTCCCGTCTCTAAGGGCTTACGTCGTTTATCATTAATTTTTATATTCGGAACCGTAAGAGAGTTTTCATGCCGCGTGTAGCGTTGTTTCTTAATGTATAACTTATAAGCCCTAATTATACCACTCAGACGAAGTTTCGGGCAAAAGGGCTCTTTTTTTAATAAATGTTATTGAAAATCGAAACCTATTCCAAGTAAAAGAAAAATCAGATAACTTAATTTTCACTAACTGATTTTTTCCTTAGAATTCCTACCGTTTTTAGTGCAAATGGAATATTTTTTATGGATGAAAATAAATACCAACTTAATCCTGTGATCTATCAATGTCACTGAACGCCTATTTGTAACAGCGGTTGGCGATACTACGGACTGTCGCCGAGTATTAGGCTAATTCATCATGGTTTGTTACTTAATGGAAACGTTAATATAACATTAATACAATCACACTGATACAAGATGATTTACGAAGAAACCTTTATTTTAAGTAAAAATTAGAGTACAATATAAATATACTACTGTAGAAGGGTCGGGACACATCTGACGGACGATGCGTCAAGCATCTTACAGAATTGTGTTAGTGCGCGTGGATCGCGAATCCGTCTTAGGTTGAATGTCAAATCATACTTTTAGATAGATAGATAGAATATTCTTTATTGCACACACAAAGACAATATACACTTCTATGACAAAAACAGGAGACGTACAATTGGCGGCCTTATCACTAAAAGTGATTTCTTCCGGACAACCTTGGGATGGAGTTAAATATAAAAAACCTAATGATGGGGTAGTGGATGGTGTACAAATAAACAATTTATAAATATACATAATTGACAATTGTTATTTACTTAATTTTAATTTACCTACATACTTTTATTTGTCAATTCTGGTGTTTCGCGAACAACAATTACGCGACACATCCTGCGATGCAACCAAACAATAATAACGGAATAAACAAAATTTTTCATAGCCCCATCTGTCGAACACTTCTATAATCTATTAATGAAAATAAAGAAAACCATCAATTACCTGCCTGATCATGCAATTTTTATACATTCCTAAGTCACCAAAATGCAAGACTACGACAGATAGGAATGCGACATGGACCGGAATGGTCCTTGTAGAATGCACCATCTATCCATTGATCTATCTGGTTAGGCACTAAGCAAGCACGAAGGATTTTATGTCAGTTTCAATGCAAACTTGAGATTATTGAACATACAGTATTATAACAGTAAACTACTGTTATACATACCTAAGTGCATTTTTACTAGAAATACGATAGAATTTACATCGGTAATACCTATTAAAAAAACATTTTACTATTGAATTGATATACCTATTAAACAAGCTTGTAAAATCACCATGGCGATTCTAATAATTTTATAAGAACGACCAGCCAATTGGCACGGAACTGATCAAACGTCAAAGTCAATGACAATGACAGCTAACTGTCAGATAAGGTTGCCGGAGTTAAATCGACAATAGTGATGAGGACAAATTTTTGTTTATTTGTCCGTCAGGTAGATTATTGAAGAAATTTAGCTTCGTTTAAATTGAAGCACAAAAAATACGTATCTTATGTTTTACTATTATCTGACTGCCGGACTAAATAGAATTTCTTTTTTTTTACTCAGTTGTCATCCCTATTCGTGCTGTCAGTAGAAGTCGATGTTTTTATCTCTAATAATTAGAAATTTGTATCAAAAGAACTCACCCCGAAGGCACTAAATCTTTTGGTGCGTCTATTGGAGTGGTCATGTGGGCCCAAAAAGGCCTCAGACTTGGGCCGAGGCGGCCTCTTGGGCCTCATCACCACTCTTGCGTCCTCCCGAGCCCCCTCGTCCAGAAGCTTCGAATCTGATGATACAGACAACTGCCTCCGAACTCGATATTCCCCATTACCCGCACCACCGCTCCATTCTGAAAAGAAAATTATTATGAAATTCCTACCAAGAAGAAAATGTCACGAACGAATAAATTTTGAACATTCATAGAGTATGATACATAGTTTCTTCTAAACGCGAAAGAAATACAAAAGTCGATCAAATACGTTGTTGCTATATGACTCATATGCCTCTATCTAGACGACTCACCACAATTGATCTGTGACTTCAGATACATATCTTCATAGCTACAAACTATAGGAACAATAATGTTATCTACATAAGTATAGACACTAAAACAATCTTAATACAAACGTGTTTGAGTCTTATTTGCGAGATTGTAGCGTAATAACTGTGAAACTACAATATTAGCAAACTTCCACACAGTCAGTTGCTAAGATCTGCTCCGCATCGCCCGCCCAACCGCAACACATGCACATGCACAAGCGGCAATAAATCTTGCAACCAACACTCTACACGTGTTTCGCCCCTTCACTGAGCATCCTCAGGACATGTTAGACCTTACCGTGGTTACAGTCTCTTCGTGAGAACGAGAAGAAGAATACTATAGCGTAATTATAAATATAAACAACGTTTTTCAATTTGTTATCACATTAATTAATTTTATTATGCAAACGTGTATAAATAAAAAAAAAACCATAATGCGATTTTGTTCGCTGATAAACTCATCGGCGTTAATGTCGTCGTCGGTAGTAGCTTTTAGCTACTCGTTTTTTCACTATCTCGCATTCTGACGCAAACCTCATCCAGCCGCAATCTCCACGACGATACAAATTATCAAAGCACTCTGGAGCGCAAACATTTCCATCGAGCGACGTCAATTGACAGGCTGAAAATCTCGGTACAAATTTCCCAGAGCACTTAGTAAGCAAATTAATTCACGAGCGGAGTAAAGGAAAAAGTATGCCGACGGAACGGGTCGCTTTGAAAGAAGCTATTTTTCTTCGGCTTCATTCGAGGGGCACTCTGTTAACGTTAGCGTGACAAAGAAGCGATATCGATGCGACGTGAAACGTATATAAATCATCTGCAGACTACGAAATAGCTTCTCTAGCAGCAGAGACAATCGTTAGGAACGATAAAAAAGATGAACGAAGGAACAAAAAAAAATATTACTTCAGCGCTTCTTCTGTTTTATTCATACACAAAAATTACTCACTATATTTGCCTTGAATTATTTTAGACTCATTCTATCGTAATTTAGAATAAATATTAAAGTACAAACTACCAAATCCTAATTTATTTTTAAAATTTAAACGCAATATTCCTAACTTTATTACATTATATTATTATTAGTTTAGTAAAAAACAGGTCCTTGTGCTGACCCCAAATATTTTTATTTTATTTATATACCGGGTGTTACAAAAATACCCGTTATAGCTGAAGGGTGTTGAAGTATATCATATAAACAGTACTCTGCCAAATTTTCAAAACCTTTGCATTAACTTTTAACTTTCAGTAAAAAGGCTAATTTTTAATAATTAATAAATACATCGAGTGTGCTATGTCACATCACTATTTTAGGTTAATGACCTTACCAGGAGTAATGGCACACTACCTATCTCCTATGTTTTCTAATTTTTTTTTTTCTATTCTCCTAGTACACACCCACACATACACACTAAGAATGAGAGAGAAAATATACTTAAAAACATGTCTGCGTTTGCCAGTTTACACAGTAAATACTTAACCTATTTCGATCGAAAATAAAATGAAAAGAAATTAAATAGGAATCAAATCATTGGCAAAATGGTATGGTAACCGACGCTGTTCAGCCGGTAGTCTAATTTCAGTAAAAAAAATTATAATACATATTATTATCAACGCGCACATCATTTCATAGCATCGTTTCCGACTCAGCTGTTTCTGAATTACAGATCAAACACCATTTTAAGTAGTACCTATTTATGATAGATAGGTAAAATTTATTTAAACACTGATATACGAGTCTAACTTTTAGTTCATACTTTAATGGTCCGACAAATCTGATTGATATTACGATAATAAAAAAAAATATGATATGCGCCATAATTCACAAACGATTTTGGCGTATTTAAAAATAAATATTTGCGAATTACTATTTGTACTTTACCTTTTCACTTCCTTATTCACTGTTTAAGCATTACTTGTGAGGTTCACTCACCTACACTTTATTAGGCACTTAATTTTATTCCACAAGAAAAAACTAAAGATCGCGGCCAACCTCTGGTTCACTGACGTTTCAGTATAATTACATCTTTTCAAAATAGTCTCAATTTATATCAATATAACACTGCATCCCATGTAACACTGATAAAAGCACTTTTCATAGAACTCGGAATTAGAGAACACGGACATTTTCGAAACGTGATCACATCGACGACGTATGAACAACTGAATAAAGAAAAAGTGATAAAAAGGGAAAGCCGCCAATTTGAGTCCTTTATTATAAGCCGCTGCGTAGTGTGCGGCATGTCAAAGGCGCACAGAAAGGTACCTATAGTTCCGCAATTAAATCTGAGAAGTAGCGGGATAGGGTTGCCATCTTCTCTTATTAGATCGGAAATTTTGTCCTTAAAGCCGGACTAAGTCAAATCTCTCGCGAAGCCGTAAAACAATATTACCGTAGTAGACAGTAATATTAGTTCACGGCTTCGCGAGGGTTACTGCCTAGTTATTCAGAGGGTGCGTTAAGCAAAAATCACTAACTTTCAATTGATTTTGTAGTAAGACATAACATACAAATAAGCGGTAATTAAAGATAAGATAACTACATCATAATTTTAACGCTTTTATCACAGCCAAAACGTGAATTCATAACATCAAAACTGCACAACCTATTTTGAAAAAGGTTTTTTTTATAAAGTAATTTCGGAGACTATACGATGCAAACAAACTTACGATTTGTATTCAAATTTCGCAAATGCCCGTGCAACACTGCGTCTTTTTGGGTATTTGGGTATTTGACGTTTTTCGAATTTGTGTGTATTCATAGTTTATTTGATATAGCTTCGGCACAGATATACCAAAAACCTATGAAAACTATATCGCCGGACATGTGATATTAACATTTAGCTGCACACAATCTAAAAAGTCAAACATGTCCCGCTAAAGACGGATAGATGACAACCCTAGACAGGCGGCAATGTTAAAGTTTGAGCCTAAACTTCTAGTTGCCTAGTACCGAGGTGATCAACATTTTATTGTACAAATTAAAAAAATCGTCGCAGGACATTGTTGCAACTAATTTTTTTACATACGTACGTAAGTACATAATACGTTACGTATTATGAACGTTACGTATTAGGAATTGTTAATTGACAAAGATTTTGTAAATTTTTATTGTTGTTGATAAGATAGTACATGGTTGTATTTTTAGTATTTACAAATTTAAACGTTGTTAATGTTTGGTAAAGACTAGTTTAAGTGAGAAATGTGATATACTTTCACGCTGCACCTGCAAACGAGCATGCTTGGCTCAGTCTGTAGAGAGGAAGTAGCATCGACTATCATAAGACATCGTTAAATAAATAAATTAATGTATTTCGTGGGCCGTAGTAATCTGCATACAATCGACATACCTGTTGAAAATTTTAATTCATTTTATACACCTTTTCTATTTTGAACTATTTTTCAAATAAATGACCATTTGTTTGTTAGCTGTGTCGGTCGTTTTAGGGCTTTTTCTATTTAAGGAAATAGGTAAACAGTACATAATAAAACGTCTCATTCATTTTCATTTCTTACAGCATTAAAATAGTGAATCCTATACTCTGATTCTAAAATTCAGTTGAATAGCCCACAGTAATAAAATAGATAATAAATTAAAATCCGTACCAAATGTTTACTACTACCGTATCTAGCGTCAAGTAGTCACTCGCGCGCGACATCACACAAACACGACACGAACGATAATGTTTCGTTTCTTTCTCTCTCTCTCTTTCCCTCCCTCTCTATCTCTATCTTACGTTATTGTACACTCGGGGGAATAAGTGAATTTGTTTTAGGCTCGATTTTACCGATTATGTATTGATTTGTCTTACGTATTTAAATACCTAAACAATAAAAAATATTTTTAAGAGTTAAGCTAATGAAGTTATTTCTTAGCACCGGACAACCCTTCCTGCGCGAGTCCAACTCTCACGTGGCCGGTTTTTTTTTTATAATTAGTTGTTAGCAGTTTGATAAAACTAGGACTTTTGACTAGTAAAATATAAAAAAACTTCAGTTATTGAGAATATTCAGTTGAGATTTTGTACTTTTCTCAATTCAGAAAGCGGCTCTTTGTCGACATTTTTTCTTGTCAGACACTTTTAAGATACCTAAGTGTAGTGCATATCATTAACTCTAAGGTAGCAATCCATTTTACTTGAAACAATTTACATGTAGTAAGAGTAAGTGGTTGAAACCATAATCAGGAATGATCATATTCCCGATTAAGGTTCATATTCCATTTTAAGTCTGATCTTTTTATTGTAAAAATATTAGAAAAGAAATAAATTTACCATAAACACAATTGAAATATGTACACGAATATTGATCAATGTTTCAATTTATTCCCCGACTGTATCTGCGCTGACGTCATATTAGGTTTACTTTCGTAACAGAAGATTGTAGGTACGAGTACCAGGTTATCATGATTTAAAGACACGATGTGTAAAAATTCTGGTTCAAAGATGAAGCAGCTACAGATAGACAAAGTTACCTGGAAGACACTCAGTGATATACGCCGCCTACTTTCATAATATTGTAATTATTTTCATAAAAATGAAACTACCTAATTATGAAAAAAAATTGTTCGTGCAATAACGAATGTTCTACTTATCTAGAGGTCGCGATATTTCTTCTTCCTCTGCTTCTCTATTTGTTTAGATTAGATGAAATTGATTTTATGAGTTCATTATTGAGTGACGTGTCGTAGCATTAATTATAAAGATTATTATTTTGGATGGGCCGTCTACAGTTCGTAAAGAGATATTGTACGAGCATTTCAGGCGAAAGTATTTAATCCAGTGCAGTGACTATAGCGTACTGTTT